TGGGGGAAGAGCATCATTAATCATGAACATCTTTTTCCTTACCGAAGGAGTGAGAGGAAGTCTTCATGCATGCCTCTTCCAACATAGAGTTTTGGCTGCAGCATGGGAAAAGTAATATGGCATATGAAATTTCAAAGAAAAACAAAAAGGAAAAGAGAAACATGGATGTGATGAACAGAAAAAAAAAAAAAAAAAAGAGACTCCATATGCTTGCCTGTGCCCACCACATGATAAGAGTGACAATCCGCAAGTTTGAACGCTCCATTGATTTCCGTAAAGGTGGAAGAAAAAATAGTAAAGCAGCAAGTATATTGGGTATCAAATAAATTGCAACAGCATAATTATAAAATGATTGATCTTGCCAATCCCTAGCCCAACTGTTGAAGAACTTAATGAGTCCTGTTGGATTTTGAACAGAACTAGAATAACCAATTGGCAAAACCACTGTCCAGAAAGCTGCCACTCCAAATTTCAGAATGTACCGTAGTATCTGTGTAATTTTCAAGCTCCTCCAGGCACTAAAACTGAGAATTATATCCAAAGCAGCTGCATGGAAAATGAGTAAGAACCTAAATCACATAATCTGTGAAAATGAAACTAGAACAAGAATACAAGATTGACTATAAAAATGAAACTGCAACAAGAATACAAGATTGGCTATAAAATATATAGCAGCTGTGCCAATACCTTACAAAAGTAACATATTGCAAAAGGTGGCACTATCATATGGTTAAATTTCACTTTGTGCATGAGTGAAGCACTTTCTGATAACTAAAAATTTATCATATAGAAAATTATAGTTAGGGACATACAATACCTTGCAGAAAATTGAGAAAAGCCGAGGTGATGAAAATACTTAATACACTTCTGAAGACATCCTCATCAAATAAGCCAAGAAGAGACCCAGAATTCCATCCAATGATTACCATGGCCTGAAAGCCATAAAATCTTGAATGCATTTGATTCTTTTCACCAAAGAAATAAAAAGAAAAGAGTACACATACTCAAATATTAAGGTCACCTGAAAAGCCATTATAAAGAATATCCACATCCGGTCAAAACTTCTGTAAAGATGCCAAAATGTACGGAATTCAACAAAATTAGTTTTTGGCTTTCTCTTACCAGAAGTGACTTGATTAGGTCTCTGTGAACCAAAAATGAACAACTTAGATTTCTTTAAAGAATAAAAGAATTAAATTAAATACCAGAAGACAAGTAATGAATTGTTTGAAATCACTCCTTGCCTCATAGGGGAAACTTTTAACCCTAGACAACATCTACATAACTGCAGCAGTTACTCATGCCTCCATCAGGAAGATAAAGAGCAAGTGCTCAAAGCTACCTATCAAGTCATATACTTTTGGATGACTACCAATATTTTCTCATAACTTGATGGATGGGTAAAAATAGTCCATGGAAGGTATTACCATGCAGGAAGTTGCATGTCAATTTTGAATTCAACATGTCAAACCTTTACTAACATAATCAATTTGTATATCACCTTTTGGTTGACCTGAACTTTGTATTTGAGTTCATGGTCCACGTCAAATATTGCAACTCCAAAATCCAAATCATATCATAAATGCCTCCAAACCAAACATACTTGCCTAAAGGAAATTAATAAGAGAAAGGAATGAATAGCTAGATTCATAGGATTATATTTTGCTGCAAAAGCTGAACGTTCAAATAATGGACCAATTACAAAAATTCCATGATTAACACAAAATTTTAAAATCCCACCTCGCATGTACTCCCCAACAAAACTTGGGCCTCTCACATAAAAGTATAATTTAGAGCTCATAATCTCTCCTATCTAATGTCTTCTTTGCTTCTGCCCAGCCTTTCCATTTAGTTTAACTGTCTTCAAATGTTTCTAATCACATCAAATGCACTTTAAGTAAATTGTTATCTATTTTTATGAAACCAATAACCACTTACTAAAACCACTTAATGAAACACATTAACTAACTAAGCAACCAACAATAGCTTAGCTGTGTTGGTTAACACTAACTAAAAACCTTGATTCTTCGGGTCAAGGGGTTAAGCTTAAGGGTCCAAACCTTTGCAATGCTAAGTAGCCAGCATATTTTAATTAGAGAACAAAGACACAGAAAAGCACCTCATTTGCTATGACTATCTCATCTGAATGGATAAAAAAATCTGCACTGGGGTCCATTGGCCATCCTAATCGGAAACACCTTGGAGACCTAGAAAAAAGAAGAAGTAATATTAACATCTATTTATCACATTTTAATGCAGGAAAAAAAAAAAAAAGGAGGAATTATTATAAGAGAAACACACCAAAAATACTCATTCAGATCATCATAATTTCTCCATGTTGAGTGGCTTGCCATCCCTCCTTTGTTTCTCTTGACTTCCTTTTTAGTCAAATAAAATCAATTAGAAGGTGGGCAAGGTTATGGCCACGGACAAAAATGTTAAGGCCACCAAAATTGTAAAATATTGTCTTTAAAAATAATGATTCTATTTAATTTGATTGATAAAAATAGCTAATAATGGTAACTATTAACTAATAACTGATAGAACAGTTGATATTTATTAGTTAACAAATTAAAATCAGTCAACAAATTGATATTTTCAGACACAGCTTAAGAATAAATAAAATTTTGGTCACCTTAACATTTTTTATGGTGGCAATAACCCCATCCTTAGAAAGTGGTTAACGATCAGCAAGATATAATATCAAGAAGCGACAAAATCATAATTACCTTGCGCAAGACCTGGTAGATAGGGAATATAACAGTCCTTAAAAAATTTTCTTCATCCGGTGCTGCTGTTTGGTATGTGCCTCCACTGACAGGATGCACATTTCCAAACAAAAATCCATAAACCTCATGTGCCATCTTATGCAATCAAGGGGAAGTAAAAGGAAAAAAAGGAAAATCAAAGATGTGCGGAATCTAGAAATTCATTAGAAAGTAAGAAAAGAAAACGAAAAACCAAACAAACAAAAAGTTGACCATTTTGGGAGCTTCCATAGACTACTCCTACCAAAGAAAATAAGAAATTGAAACTAATCATGTCCAGAGCATGTGCTTTGATGCTATCATTAAGATTCTTGGATTCAATATCTGAATCTTACCAAATCTATCATGACTTGTATGATGCACATGTTCAATATTATGGATAAGCAAGGACATGAATTACAACCACAAATTCTTTCACAAATTAATTTCATTTCAAGAAAATATCATATATAAAACTAAAGATATGACATATAAGAATATAAGTATAATAATACTCCAGAAGCTATGAAATGGACAATGCTTTATAGAAATTAAAGAGAACATACATTATGAAAAATATAGCAAATGCATTCAGGCATGAATCGGATATTTGAAGCTTCCCCCCATATAAGAAGATAAAGTGAAATGTAAACAAGCTCTAGCTGTTGTCTATCAAAACCTTGAGGAAACCTGCAAAGATGACCAAAAATAAATAAAATAAATAAAAATAAAAATTAAATTCCACAAAATATATAATTTTAATACAAGTGATTGTTTAGAGCCTCCAAAAATATTGTAACTTCAAAGCTTGGTGCTATTTGGTTATAACCAGATTAAATGCATTGCAGAACCAAAATTTTTTAAGTTCAGCTAGTTTATTTTGGTTATCAGTAAGATCAGTAACAAACCAAATTACACCTAAATAATTTTAATCTTGGTTATGATGTTAAGAGCCAATTCCAATTCCAATACAAGTGAAAAGAGCAGCAATTGGAATTGATTTCTTTTGCAAGGGTGAAGTGATAGTTTTCAAGAGCTCTCATTGATTTATGGTAGTGCCTGGGTTACCATGAAGAGTTTCAGCCTGGTTGCAAAAAGCGCACCTAGGCAGGAACCTGCCACCCTACCTTGGCCTAAGCAAGGCATTCTTCCTCAGATTCACAAGAACCACAAGTTAGATCCATAAAAATCCATAGCCCAATCCAAAAATCAACCATGAAAAACATCCTAGACAACACATCAGCAAGCTACATTAATAATAATAATAATAATAATAATAACAATAATAATAATAATCCATTATTTATAGAATAGGGGATCCTAAGGCAATGGGTAGCAAACTTGCCGAGCATCTCTTCCTTGTATATATATATATATTATATTTATAAATAGTTTTCATATTCATCTAACCTCGTTTGTTTTATTTTTATTTTTTATGATAGTATAAATTGACAATTCTAAGAAAATGTTTAAATTATTTTTACTTATTTTAAAATTTATCTAACTTTATTTCTTAATTGTTGAATATTTTAATAATTTTACCAGATTTTCTGTAAAAAAAAGTAAAAAAAAAAAAGAAAAAGAAAAAGGGGAAACACTCAACACCCACCACCACCTAGTGCTTTCTGCAACCTTGAGTTTCAGTAATATATTAGTTGCTGCATTTTCTTTTGGTGAGGCTATCATATTCTTGGCTTCACTGTTTGGTGGGGTGGTGCTTTACTTTCCACTGTTTTGTGAGACAAAATTAGAGCAGCTTTGGTGTCATGGGAAAAAAAAATGACTTCATATTTGAGCCAGCCAATGCCAGCAGAATAATGAGTTCATGAATGCTAAAACCTCCTCAGTAACAAATGACTGTAAGAGAATGAAGGAACCCTAGCTCATGTCTCTCATATTAGATGTGTTTCATCATGAGGGCCTTTGCTAGTTCAATCAATCTGTTGCCACCACAAAGCTCGCAATCCTCCTTGGCACCCAATATTCATTTCCATTTATCAACCTATCCTACAAGTTGGTGTGAGTGCCTACTCCTATTGCCACAACAACTGGTCTCCCGTACCACAACAAAAGGACTTCTTTTCTAAGAAACAGCAAAACAGCAGGCCACATGTAGTACACAGCACATGCCATGCATGGGCCTACTGCTAGTAACGGCCTAAGGCCCATTATAAGCTCTCCTAAAATGGGCTTCCAGTTTTATGCATTCTGCCAACCAATTTGTCTTTTTAATTTCATTAAACTTCATATAAATACTAGGATGAAGGTTATGGGTGGTTACTCAACTTTGCCAAAATCAAGATTTTGGTCACTCAATTTATAACTCTAATAAATTGGTTACCCAACTTTACTACAATCAACATTTTGTTCGCTCAATTCAAAACCCTAACAAGTCACCCATCTTCTTAGAATAATGGAAATGTAAAACACAGTTTAAAATATTGAGTGACAGCTTTTGTGCGGAATAGCCTCAATTTAGCAGATATTCTTTTCAATTGAGCAATGGAACTGGGATTTTCATAAGAATTGGAGTATAACAGTTTTCTTGATTACTAATAGACGGAGCCTACAGTGCACAAAACATTGTCTCATGACTGTTCATCCGATGACAAAGATGACATTAACAATGAATTTACCAGAGGAGGAAGCTTAACCAATGGCAGCAATGACTACAATATCAAACTAAATTGAGACTTTCAACTTCTTCATTATAAAAGCTAATCATCCAACTTTTTCAATGGCGTTTGTCATTTGGTTTAAACGATGGGGACTAATAGATGAAGAACTTAAAAAGTTGGGCAACTACATTCATAGTGTTATGAGTTGAACGACCAAAATGTTGATTTGCCAAAGTTACATGATCATTTTATTAATGTCATTAAATGATGGATCAAAATGTTCATATTTGCAAAGTCTAGTGACCACCCATGAGATTCACCCTAAACATCAAATTTGCTCAGAAACCTTAAAAGACTAACCATTTCTCTTTGTCTACTATCTCTCCACTCTCTACCTACTACATATCATGATTCATCTCCACTAAAAACTGCACCATATAGACACTTCTCATTCTTTGATCACTCTTCCTTTTGTGATTTCCACTCCACTAAAGCTCCTGCAACATCCAAAAGACCAAGGAAGTGTTTGCTTTAGATGTTGGAGAACATCTATCAGTTGTTGGTCCTAATCGAACTGTTCAAATATTTTGAATTATAAATAATAACGATGATCAGACATTGAATATTGACTATCAGCTATCAACTGTATCAAAATAGCCAATCCAAACAACCCCCAAACTTGATTCTAGTAAATCTACTATCAATCGATCCATGGATTTTTGTTTTGGCATCATCACCACCATTTTGGTGATGTAGACAAGTTGATCAATGGTTTGTCAGAGACTAAATTGATGAGGTTTAATACACAAAATGATCCCCCACCCAACTTTCAATTTTGCCTCAATTCGGTCCTTGAACTTCCCTTTAGCCATGAAAAAAGTCCTTAAAGTTTATATTCCAGCCATCTTTTGGCCCTTCCATAATGGAAGGTGTGCCACAATTTCTCCCATAAATATGTTTTAAATTTGTTTTAAAATTAAATGAAAATGCTGAAATGATACAATCCTAAGTAATGAGGTTAACATGCACAAAGTGGGTCTCACTCACCTCAATTAAATTACAGTATTGATAAATCAATAAATTAAGTAGTAAAAATGTTAATTAACCTCCATAATTAATTAATTAACCCTTATAACATGCATTGAATTTTCATTATGTAAAAATTAAATTAATTTCCTCTCATCTTAACATGCCACGTCAACATTAAAACGGAAATCAAAAAATAAAGATCAAGGACCATCTCATAGCCAAATGAAGTACAGAGACCAAATCTGAGGAAAATCAATGACAAATGGTTTTAGATATTAAACCTATGGTTAAATGCCAATTTTAGTCCCCCAAACTTTCAATTTTGAATATTTTTAGTCCATAAACTATTTTTTGCACTTTTTTGGTCCCTAACCTATAAAAAAAAAAATTGCTTGCACTTTTTTAATCCTTTCGTCAATTAGTTCATTAAGTCTGTCCAAATATGCACATTTTCAATCTTGAACTCATAAAAATGTGCACATATGGACAAACTTAATAGACAAACTAACGAAAGACTAAAAAAGCGCATTTTTCATAGTTTTGGGACCAAAAAAGTGCAAAAAAGAGTTCAAGGACTAAAAACATTCAAAATTAAAAGTTTAGGCACTAAATTGGTAGTTAACCTAAACCTATCCATCAGTAATCACTGATCTTTCCCTTTTTTTTTACTTTTTTGTTAAATTTGGTGCTCACAAATAGCTTTTTATTACTTACAACTTTATTTGATGGATTGCAATTATGGAAATGGATTGTTCTTGATTTCTACAATCTTGAGTCTTCAGTTGCTCAGTTTCATTAATTTTATTTCTCCATTTTGGCACAATCATTTGTCAGGTTGCAAGAAAGGTTAGTGCTGAAATTTTTCAGCCAGTAACTAGAAGTCCAATTCAGTACAGCAATGCTAGCTAAAGTCTATTACCATTTGATCAATTGCTGAAATTTCAGCCAGTCTGGTACCATAGTCACCAAATGCCCACCCTACCATAGCGAACTTCTGAGTCATGATGATTATATCATAGTTCAAAGATGCAACGTTGTTACGCAGGAGTTGTGGGCTACAATGTTGTTTGGAATTCAGTTAATTTGTATCCCACACCAAATTAACTTATTAAATTCAGTTAACTGACCAACATACTAAGATAAAAATTTGTTCAGTATTGGAACAAGAAATTGTTAACCATAATTTTGTAGGTTCGGTTAACCATAACCGAACCGACACCCAACCCCATCCCATGGCAAAGGATGATATCTTACTACAATCCCAAGCTCTGTCAAACGAGTTGCAGTTACGAAGTGACAGCAGCACTACAGTTTATCATATGCAATAACAAGAAACTTACCTTAGGTGTGACTCATGACGCAGATACTTGCACCATGAACGATAATTCTTGAAAACTTTATCCATCAACTGCTTTACAGTGTCACTTTTCAGCTGCATATAGACTTCTCATCAGCCATCATTATGATATAAAGCAGAAAATCAATTCTGCCACAGAGAGCTGAGGATTCAGAAGTAACAACCAGCCTAGGGGAAAGCGATATACCTCAGTATAATCTTCATCAGACATTTTCCTTACATCCATATTGGCAAGCAGCAAAATTAAGTGCTCTCTTTGATTTGCTACATTTCCTTTCTTCAATTCCAAAAAATATGAGAAAATGTTATGTAGTGCTTTTCAGATATCCATTTACTAGATGCATATGCATTCAAAACACAACTTGAATACGGTCTTTGCTATACCTCCTTGAAGGTAAAAGGAATTACGATTGAAGAAACATAGACAGGCTAGACTTAATGCATAAACTTGATTCAATCACAAGTATGTTATTTAGCTTTAATTATCAAAAAAGAAGTTTGCAAATGAGATCCAGAAATCAATCATAGAGGATACAAAAAAAATAGGATATAGATATACTCTCATTGAATATCTCATTGGCACACAAGATTCTAGGAAAGGGGTTGATTTTCTAAATCTAAGCCAAATGCTACAACAATATGTGACTGTATCTGACAGCACATAACATGCAGTTATGACTTACGAAGTTACAATATCAAACAAGAAGGATTTGAGGCATCACCTGAAACCCAAAAAGTGAAGTAAGCCAATCAAGTATGTCATTTACAGATTTATTTCTTTCCTGAGTCATGTTATCAGGAACATCTGATGTCAAATGAACTCTAGGCATGTGAAGATTACCCACATTACGTATAGCATTAAGCGCCACTTTGATCTAGATTTTGAAGGGACAAAATAACTGGTTGTGTCAGAATATGAAATACTATTTCCATATGCAAGAAAAAACACATATTATAAATATGACCTCAGGAAGTTCCATGATAGCTGGTTTAACCCCTACAGCATATAAGGGAAGAATGTTATAGTGTTCATATTGCTCCCTTTTCCTCTCAACTTCCTTAGCATATCTGTGTATCTGTAATATATATATATATATATATATATAAAGATAAATTAAATGCATACCTCATATTTGCAAAGATGTATCATAAATTTGTTCCAAGAGACCAAAAATAAATAAATCAAACCTCATCACCAATTTTTTTAGGATCTGTGACTACTGTCCTCAGCACATCATACAACACCGTCGCAATTTGATAAATCTTTGCCATCTCCTCCCTTCATGAACAAGAACCAAAACTGTGAGATACAATGAATAAACATGTTAAACAAATGGAAATATTTTAAAAGTCAAATCTCACGGTTTTTTTGTGTGTTCCCCATCTTTAACATTTTCAACATAGAACTTCAGGTAATACAACTGCATTTCTTGTGGATCATTTTTTCCAAGCTGATGCATTGTCTCGTCTTCCTCCTGAAGCAAAGAGAAACCACTATGCTCTTCATTTTCTCAACAAACATTTGTAAGGATGCTATTCTTGACAATGAACTATAAAATCCATAGAGATTTATCACAATGCCCAAATTTCATGAAGTTAGTGAAGATTAGTGAAAAGGAAACATATTAGCAATAAATTAATTTCATAATGACTTTTTGCATAGAAATTTGAAAAATAAAATAAAATAAATAAAAAGATATAGCAAAAACTATCTCTCAATATCAATTCTATAAAAAAAAAAAAGTTTCAAGTCAGGAAACCACTGAATAAAGATCCTTCAAAGAGAGTTGTAAGAAATTAAGAGAAGAGAGGTTGAATATGTGGTTATAGTTTGTTTAGTCTACCTGTCAATCTATTTGTGTTAACATGATATAACAACTTATTGAAGCACTAGTGTGGGACTTAAACTTGCGTACAACCTCAAGGACTCAAATCTCTCGATTTAGATTTGAATCTGACATGATAACTTGACAGAAGCTGAACTGGTAGTCCCTTGAATTCAAATCCTACTATAGTGGATTTGAAACAGCTCACAATTTTCCAACAATAGTAATTCTACACAATGAATGGATGATTGAACACTGCAAACAAGTGTTGTTTCTTCCTCAAAAGACAAGCCTCACTGCCTCAGTAAATTTTTGGTTCAAGTCCTCAGTCCTCAGACAAACAAAGATGCAAAATCTAGCTTCACAAATTAGGTAGATAATCTAACTTGAATAGAAATTCTGGAGGGTTTTTATTTTGGGTGGAGAACGAGAAGTTCTGGCAGTTCAAATAAGAGAAATGGTCAAGGGCAGAATATGGATGCCTTAAGGAGTTATCATTTATACATATCAACAAAACAAAAAAATAAATAAAACTACAGAAATAATCAATCAAGAGAGAATATGGACAACTTCGGGAGATGTAATTCATACAGGTGATAAAAGAAAAAAAAAATTACAGTAAAAAAAAGGGCAAATTTTATGTTCTCAGCATTCTAAAAGCAAATAAACTTCACTCCATAAATGCAAGAAAATTGTCTGTTTATATTGTGCCATACTATAGTTTTACAGCATGATAGAGTAAAATCCATGCCACGGCTTAGGTAAGTTAGTTAAAAATGAATAAAGTTCTTCTCTTGCAGCTCTGCAGTTATTTTTGCTATAGAAAAAGGGGAAACTCAAAGGAAACAATAGTAATTGTTAAGCCTACCTTCTCAAGTCTATGCAACAAATATGTCTTAAACTGCCGAACACCTCGTCCACTTGATGTTGGATCCATCTTATGAGCCTTCTCAAATGCGTAGAACCGGCCTAATTGAACAAAATATATCAACATCAAAAAAGAAGAAGAAGAAGAAGAAGAAGAAGGAAAAAATAATATCTAGAAATTGGGATTATTTGGAATCAACTTCTGTATAATTGTGAAAAAATATCAACTTTTACAGAAAATATATAATCAAAGTCAAATACTTAGTAGTCGCAACATGCTAATGCAGAAATTAGCGATTATTAATTAAAGAGAATATTGGACATCAACAAACAGCAAAATTCAAAGGGAAAGTTGGTAGGGGATACAAGTTGCAGGTATTGCAGGTGAGGTAAAACTCATCAAGGATCACTTAAGTAACCCAATAAAGAGGGTTTGAATTGAGAATGGAGATAATCTAATGGATTGGCTCAAACTTTCAGTAAATTTCTTAGATAACCATTAAATTAGATTTGGTGACTGGGGCTAGCAATCATCTTACTTGTCCCCTCCTCATTCACAAAACCATATTTGAAATGACAAGTGCAGATTGCTTCCAATTCTCTATTCGGACTTATGTTTACATTGCACAAACAATAGCAGGAGTAGACCATCCTTCAGCTATGTTCTTAAACAAATGATCAGAATAAAGTGAATGAATAATAAGGAAAAATGCTTCTAAGCTTCTTGTTACTAAATTAAATGCAAAATTCTAGTTATATTCATTAGAAGTTACTCAAATGATAAACTATATCAATGAAAAGAAAAAACTAAATTCTTGGACAAATTTGACCGCCAATCAACAAGATAGCATCTAAGAAATTGGAATAGAACCGACAAATAACAGTAGTAAGAACAAGTAGAAGCAAAAGACGAGACTCACAAAGATAGGCCACTCTGGGATTATCCTCCTCAATTTCATTTGCAACCCGGAGAATGGGAGCAATAGAGGCCAAAGAGGAGGGCACTAACTCACTATCAGCTGCGAGGTTCTCCTCATGCTGCAACTCCGCCATCATCGTCGGTATTCCAGTCATTTTCCGGGACGGCGGCCGTGGCAGCCTGCCACCGTCGCCCTTGGTCCCGCTAGAGCTCGCCATTTCGACCACCAACAACCCTGCTGCTGCTGTCGTTGATTGGAGTTTGGGTTTGGTTTGGTATAAAAAAGAGCAATCATCTTTTAGCTATTTTCTTTTTCTCTGTGATGCTTTGAGTGAGGGGTGGGGTAAAGGAGTTGCTCTCGGGAGAAGAAAAGAATGAGATTAGGGATTAGTGCTTTTGCTTTTTGGCTGTATATATATAAAGAAATGGGGAGGAAGGCTTCCTCTTTTTCGCTTTCTGGGTTCTTCGCCAGGGCGGGAACGGTTTAGTGTTTGGTGTGGAAAAGACAGACGACGCAATTCTTTTTTCTTTGCTTCCCTGGGACATATCATGTATAGATGAAGCAGCCGGCTTGGAGATAGACACGTCTAAATATTAAAGCTGAGTGGTGTGACGTAAGCGCAAGATCTGGTCTTTTCGAACTCGGCCTGCTTTGGCAAAGTGAGTTAAAAAAAAGAAAAAAGAAAAAGTGTATTTGGATTTGCCTCTTTCAATTTTATTATTATTGTTAGGGCTGAATATTAGATATAGTTATATTGATTATTTATAAATATTTTATTTATTTAAGTAAATATTATATCTAAACTATTAAAAAAAGTAAATATAAAAAATATATATTTATAAGTAAATATAGAACTAACCAAGAAAAGGGACAGCTGCCCCCTAATTTTTAAAAAATATTTAATATGGTATATTATATAAGTTAAATTCAAAACATTTTTAATAAAAGAAAATTATCATTAAACTATTTAGTTATTAGCTATAAATCATTTTAAATCTAAAGAAAGCATTTAGAACCTAGGTAAATAAACCATTTCTATCCTTGTAACCAATTCTTAAGACAAACAAATTTATTTGGCAATGAAAAATATTTAAAAATAGTAAAAATTGAGTTACATTAGTGTAATTTATATAAAATTTTATTCTAATTGCAATTCTTTATATAATTTATAATTTATCAAACCAACACTTAGATTTGACATTCTATTCATATATATCACAAGTTTTAAATTGAAAGTTCATTTGATATATGTAACCATATCACAAAAGAAATTATATTTTATACGAGATTAGTATTTACTTGTTAGAATTGCAAAAAAAATAAATAAATAAGTAAATAAATAACCTCAAAACTACAACATTTTAATAAAAAAAAACCATGGAAAAATACAAAAATATGCTATTTTAATCTTTTTAATTAAAATTTATTTAAATGACATGATTTTGAGTAATTTTTTGACATAAGTTTTTATAGGTCCAATTGATTAACAAATATTTTATTTTGTGTTATTTATTTTAGGATACTAAATTATTAGTTGTTAAAAAATAATTAAATATATCTAATTAATTCAAAATTTAGTATGCATGATATAAGTAGTACATTGGCATATAAAATTAGTTAATATAAAAATTAATTTTTTTTATGTAAAGACTAAAGATCGAATCTTAAATAACCATTGGATCTTATGATTAATGATTGAAAATTGGTATTAATTATACTAATGCAAACTAAACTTGACTCATGAAAAGTTTTAATTTTGCCCCTCCTAAACCAAAAGTATGGCTCCATCCCTATTTGTAAATATTAAGTCAAGCAATGAATATAAGAGTTTTGAAATATTTACCAAATCTATTTAAATAACTTGTTTAACTAACATGCTACTTATATAATTAAAATTTTATACATGTTTATTATATTTAATATTTATATGTAATAACAATACTTTTTAAAAAGAAAAAATAATAAAATACAAAAAATAAAAAATAAAAAAAAAAAGTTAAGTAAAACATATAAGCCAAATAAATCACACATGCAATAATAACAAATAGTATAAATAATAAATCTTAAATCAATCACATAACATACGTAACAATAACATCTCATACT